CTCAATTTTCCCAACTGTAAGATAGTTATTTTGCTGTGAATTAAGAACAACCTATTAATGCTCTAAAATCAGAGCATGGGGGTGGTGGGGGCTCAGGGGCTGTGCTATCTCCTCCAAGAGGCTCTGGGCCTGCCTGCTTTGCGACCATGGACTGTCACATCGCTTCTTGAAGCTCCAGTTTCTTTCATCTACCAAGTAGCGATAATAGTACCTCCCCAGTGGGGCGCCCGGTGGCTCAGTCTATTGAACGTCCAACTTCCGCTCAGGTCATGATCTCCCAGTTCTTGAGTTCGAGCCCCGCCTCAGGCTCTGTGCTGACAGCTCAGAGCTTGGTGCCTGCTTTGGATTCTGGGTCTCCCTCTGTCTCTGCCCCTCCCCTGCTTTCTCTCTCTCTCTCTCTCTCTCTCTCAAAAAAAAATAAACACTAATAGTACCTCCTCAGAGGATTGTTTTGAACTGTAAATGAAGTAGTATGTTAGCCCAATACTGGGCATATAATAAACTTTTGATAAATTCTGATTATTATGATAAGCTTAAGCATCTTGATGGCCAAGATGGCATCATTATCATTTTATAGTCCTCCCAATCGCCAGCGTGGCACTAGTAGGAGTTTAACACGCGTGTGATCAACAGAACAAAAGATAAGTGAATGAGTGAGCAGACAAACCTCAGTTTTGCCCCAGAGTCTCAGGGTAAGTAGGCGATGTAACTTGGGTTGCATGAGCCCTGTCATGTGCCTTCGGCCTGGCAAGGCTGTTAGTGGCCCATGCCACCTCTGGCTGCAGCGTGGCCACTGGTCGGCCCGCGCAGAGGCTGAGTGTGGTCGGCACTCTGATCCCTCCTGGGACCACGGCTCCACGGTCCTCACTTCCACGTGTACAAGATGGATGGTTTGGCTGTGAGCCAAAGTCTGCTCGAGCCGCTTGGCCACCTTAAAGGCTTTCCTGTCGGGGTGTGGAGATGGCAGCACAAGAGTCTCCTTTGGGGGCTGCCTCCAGCCCCAGAATTCCACCCACAGCTCAAGCCCCGGACAGCTCTCAGCACACATCCTATAGGAGAAAGAAGAAGGTGGTTGGGAGAAAGGCAGCGGAAGCGGGGATGAACTGTCCAAACTACCAGCCTAAGCTGAGGCATGCATTCAGTGGCCTTTGAGGTGCCCTGGACTGTTTCCAGGGGGCTGCATAGCAGCAACTGGCCACACCCTCCCATCTGCCCAGGAACCCATGCCACCGGCTATCTAAAGGACTGAAGCTTCTGTGGGAAGCTTCCAACTCGGAGCACCACCTCCTTCACCCTCTGTCTCTGTGTCAGGCCCCACCCCACCTTACTTCATGCCTTGCCCTGAGGGGCTACTAAGCTAGGAATGGCCACACCCTGCGGTGCAATGCTTTGACTGACGTGGTGACACTGGACCCTGTCTGTAGCCACCCCCTTATTCAACCATGACCCTGGAAGGGGCTGCAATTTCCCAGGGTAGCTGGCTACTAACTCTGGCTGGTGGAGCCCGAGAGAAGACTTTTGGGTCCAGAGGAGTCCAGAGACAATGCAGTTGCTCTGCTGGTCCCTCACCACTGTCACCACCTCAGGAAAGCTCTGCCCAGCATTCCCCAGATGCCTGTTCGGGGGGACCATCCAAAGCTGAATAATGCCCATGAGGGTCCCTGGTGCATTGCCTGTTCGCCAGCTGGCTGTCCTCCTATCTTTGACCTAGCCAGAGCCATGTGAGGATATTTTTATAGAAATTTCTGCCGAGGAGGTGGGGGGAAGGGAGAGGGAAGAATAGGGGAGGCAAAGGAAGGGAAGAACAAGAGGTAAGGAGGAGAGGAGAAGAGAAAGAATGCCATAACGGTGGGTAGGGTAGGTCTTTGGCTGATCCCAGACTTTGTGGAGGACATGGAGCTTTGGGAGCTGGGGGAATTCTCTCCCTCTGGTTACAGGAAGTCAGGGCCAGAGGCTCCTTAGATATCATCCAGGTCAACTACCTGATTTTCCTGAGAACTCCTAGGGGACGGGGACCCAGTTCCAGACTCCATTCCAGTGCCTTTTACACCATTTCCCTTCTTCTGTTGTTGGAGGTTCAAGTAAAAAGTGAAGGCTCCAGGGCTAGGACAGAGGTTGCATGGGTGCTCTGCAAGGTCCGGCCTGGAGCCTTGCAAGGGGAACCCAGAGTGTGGGTGAGGGCCAGGACCCTTCTGGGGAAGCCCCACACAATCCTTTAACCTGGTTCAAAAGCAGCTACGGCCCCCAAACTCCTGTCTGGTTACTGACATGCTGCCATGCCCAGGGTGGGGTCCAAGTTCAGACTAAGCTGAGAATACTGAGCCTCCTAAGTATTTACTAAACAAACCCTGTCCTCTTCTTAGTTTTTAAGATTCCCTGTTCCATGCCGTGCATTCTTTTGTCTGGAAGCAGTAAATAAACAATAATACACATGCACAGTGGACCACCTCTGCAGGCCAACAGAAATCTTTTCCATCTCTCACATGGATTGTTATCCCTATGAGCTCTAGCAGAATTAGCTACCTAGGGAGAAAAGTGGGTCAGAGGAAAGGAGATAGGGGGCTCCTGGACGCCCATCTCCCCTGGCCTCCCTCTCAGCCTCCTCCCTGCCCCCCTCTAGAACACCGCAGCCACATGGAAACCCATGGGGAACAGTTGGGGCTTTTTATAATCTTTATTTGTTAACAGTTGAGGCTATTTTTTTTCCATGCTTGCAAGAGATGCCAATGCCTCATGAAAAAGTTGTGAAAAGAAACAAGTCTATTTTGGGGTGATCAGCCTCCTCAGAGCTTCTCACTTGCAGCTCTGCGGGGCTCCAGGAACGAGCCTGTCCTCTCTCAGAAGCTCTGCAGCCTGCTTGAAGTGAAGGATCTTGGCCCTTGGATGCACAGGCTAGGGGGTGCATTTTTGCCCCCCACTTCTAACTTTTCTGCCTATGAAACAGGACAGTAGTAACACCATGTAGCTTCTTTCTGCTGGAGGCCTATCTAGTGGTGGCTTCTGGTGTACTGTCCTGAGAAATCAACACCCCAGGAGACTTGGGGTGGATCATGCATTTCCCCAGTGGCATTAGTGGTGGTAGTATTTGCAGCTCTTAAAGCATATAAGCCAACAAGTGCTCAGGTTTCTCTGCTGAGCGAAGAGCTGCTTCAAAGCTGCAGTCTATGCTGCGTGGAGGCCTCAGCAAGCTCTGGCTTCCTAGGAGGCAGGGCTAGGGTGGAGGGGCTTGGGTGAGTGGGCAGAGGGGTGTGCATGCTCAGCTGTCTGCCAGCAGGGGCTGGCTGCAGCCTGGCCAGGCCAGACTGGGAGTAGATTCTTCAGCTCCTGGTTTGAGCATCCCCACCAGCACCCACACAGTGTGGTGTAGGAAGGTTGCAAGGGGCTGGGTGTGCTTTGAAGATCCCAAGCAGAATTCTCACTTGTGTTCCTTTCACTGCCTCACCTGTTTGTTCATTTTCTCAGGAGACCCACTGGGCACCAGGGCCAAGGTGGGCATGGGATTTTCCAACCCTGGTAGGTTAGACTGTCAGAATTCCACACCCTCTGTGCTGTCTGATCACCATAGGGGACCTAGGTAGCGTAGGCACAAATGGGGGTTGAGTCCCGCTTTATCCCTTCCCATCCCTTCTCTCTCTCTCTCTCTTTATTTTTAAACTTTAGTTAATATACAATGCAATATTGGCTTCAGAAGTAGAATTTAGTGATTCATCACTCACATACAACACCCAGTGCTCATCACAAGTGCCCCCCTTAATGCCCATCACCCATCTAGCCTATCTCTCACCTACCTCCCAAGTCCCCCTTTACACAGGGATACTGAGCATAAGTCTGTGACGGGGAGCAAGCAGAAATGAAGGAAGAGTTAGAGGGATCACAGAATCTCTGATCTCAGACCTGGAAGGGGCCATGAGAAGATCACCTGGCCATCCCCTGTCTTCTGGCAAGTAACATTATTCCAATGGGAAACTAGAGAGATTAGATTCCTTGCCCAAAGTCACACAGCCAATTTCTGGTAAAGGGGAAGACTAGAACCAAGGTTGGCACAAATTACTGCAATGGCTGCTCCTCTACTTTGTTTTTTTTTTTTATTTGGGACTCTTGGGGATCCTACTGTCCACATCCTTGCCCTTACTGGGCTTGGTGGGGAGCCTTCTCTTGCCTTAGCTTTTACCTTATTGTCCCCTGTCCCTGGAGGGCTGTCACAGAGATGCCCCTCCATTACCCTTTAACCTGCTTCCAGAGGTATCCAACTGGCCTCTCCAAGCCCTCCCTAGATTATTCCTTATCTCTCCTAAAATTCTAGAATTTTCTTTGGCTGAACTGTTCCCAAGATTGTGACTGACCATTTAAGGAAGCTGAAAGTGGGAATCTCTGCCTCTAACTATGTTTCCAATTCCTCCCTCCTCGCTCCGCCCCCAAATATTTCCCTCTTCCGTTCTAAGCCTTTGTGGCCATCAGCTGATATTTTGCTGAATCCAATTTGGGTCAGGAGCTTCTTCAGGAAGAAGGATGGCTAATAAAACATAGGTCTTCCATGCTAGGAGCCCTTATTAGATATCATTGCTGGATGAACCTGACCCAACCCTTGTACATGAGAAAACAGATTCAGAGACAGGAGGGAACTGTCTAACGTCCCATAGCTGTGTGAGGACAGAATCCAGGCCTCCTAGTGGACAACCGAGTGCTCTTTTCAAATTACCAAAACCAGTTCAGAATGCACAGCATGGGATGGACCATGAACCCAGTTCTTGTCCCTCAAGGAGCCTCTTGATTCCCTGGGGTGGCCTCTGTCTTGGCCTCCAGGCTGTGTCTCAGCCCAGTGGGCCTGAACAGAAGGAGCCACACTCCTGCCCTGAGTAGATCCTCTGTTTTGGGCTGACTGACCTGGGCACTACTTTGGGTAACTTACAGCTATTTATTACTTCTCTCACAGTCTTCCCCTGGGCTGTCCCATTCACTTCTGTCCAGCCCAGGCAGGAACCCGGAGGGAACACAGAGCAATGGCTACCCAAAGACAAGGCCAGTACAAGCTGTGGAAGACCTCTCTGGACAGCATGTGAGTAGCCACTGGGTGGTGTCAAGTCCCTCCTCATCAGGTTGCCCACCCAAACATTCGTTCTTCCATCAAGCATTTATTGAGTTCCTATTACATACTAGTTGCCACACCAGCAAGAAGGAAGCTCTTGAACAAGCATGGTCCCTTCTCTAAACAGTTCTCAGTACTGTGAGGGAGAGAGAGACCCAATGATAGAACATTGTGATTGGTATTATTAGGGGAGCACAGAAGAAGGGGAGGGAAACTTGCAGACTTTTAGGGAGTATTCATGGTAGGCTTTCTGGAAGAAGTGACATCTAGGCTGAGGCTTGAAGGATGAGTAAGCATTATCCAGGTGGAGGGATGGGAAGGAGAACAGTGTTCAGGCTGAGAGAACTGTTTGAGCAAAGGTGCAGAAGGGTTCTGTCTCTTGTGAGTACCTGGTGGTGTCCCCTGAGCCCTGGGCAAGGAGGCTGAAAGACTCTAGACTTTCCAGATTTGGCTCATTCACCCTGACCAGCTCTGCATGTTGAGATGCCTCTGCTTTTGCTCTCAGCTGGTCCCAAACACAGGGTGGCAATGCCATGTGGCCCAGACTGCACACTGCTGGGGAGGGGGGCAGATTTTATGTCAGAAGGCCTGTGGGGTGGGCTTTGCAGAGGGTTGAGTGTTCCAGGAGAGGGTAGAGAGAAGAGAGACCAGTAGCCTACAAACCGTAGAAAGGCTGGAGCTGCCTGTGAAACAAATGGAACGTGCAGGGTGGAGGAGGACGCACCAAGCAGGGTCTGCAGAGCTTGGGCTGGCACTGAAGAGGCGCCTTCAGAGCCGCAGAGAGAGGAGGGCTTGTGGCGTTGGCTGAGAGCCTGCTGCATGGGTGCCTTCTTGAGAACCAAGAAGGAGAGTGTTCTCCCCAGACTGGGCCTCCTGCTCACCAGCTTCAGAAAATGGCAGCTCGTGATGTCCTTGAGGAGGGTGGTTATGGGGCTAGTTGGAGAGGGTGCCTTGTGGGGACAGGCTCAAGGGGTTTACGTCACTGGGAAGGAGGAGTCACAAGAGGGCTTTGGTGAGGGAAGGGATGTTGGAGGAGGCTCTGACTGGGAATGCCGGAGAGGTGATGCTGTCAGGGAGGACTCTCATTTCAAGAAAAGCTGAGAAAGAAGATTGTGTGCAAAAAGCAAGACAGGGAATTAAGTTGTTGTCCCTCAGCGGGAGACCCTGGCTCTGCCTGAGGCAGTTTGCCAAATGGGAACAGGGGGTGCAATTTCATTTGGCCAGGCTTACACCTTTGAATCCCCACAGGGTAGCCCGGTTGGGCAGGGGCGTTCGCAGGCTCATCTGGCTCTTTTCCCAAAGAGGGAGGAGGCATTGGCTCCATAGAGGCAGGCCTAGGCGCCCATGGTTTTGGGCAGAGGGCAGTTCTGTTTTCCTTCTGTGTTGTGTGAAACGTGAAGCCAACAGGCTGGCGCTCTGGAGCTGGGTGGGGGCAAGCGGGTGTCAGTGGGAGAGGCCATGGCCTCTGTGGCACCCACACAGAGATGTCATGCTATGCTGTCCTCTGGGGCAGGGACCTCTAGCACACAGAAGATGGGCTGAGGCTCTTCAATGCCAAACATGTGGGAAGAACACACCTGTACATGGTTAAGTTTCTTTCCAACGCGTGTATTCCAACCAATACTTTCTGTTCTTATGGAGACTGAATCCTCACTAGAGGGGTCAAGCGGCACCCTCAGTCATTCTTAACCTCTTCTCCAGCTCTGGGTGGATTCAGAAGGAGCAGGGGTAGCATCCCCCACCAATCAGGCACTTATTGAATGAACATGGACCAGGCCAGAAAGCACATTTATCACAAATACCTTAATGGGCAGCTTCCAATTATATGCATTCATGGATGGAAAGCATGCTTCAGAGAATACAAAATTCATGTTTTATTCGGCTTTTTTTTTTTTTTTTTTTTTTTTTTTTTTGGCAATGGATTTCTCTTCCTGATCATATCTTGCATAAACTAGTATTAAAGTGGATTTGCATTCTCAGAGCACAAGTTGGAGGGGGTTAGGTGGGAGGCATGTCAGTCTCGACTTTAAAAATTGTCCAGAGGTTATGACAAGATGGATCAAACTGGACTGAGCTGGCTGCTGTAATTACCAGTAGTCACGATCATCATAATCAAACCAGCCTTGAACATATAAACTTCCTTTGGGGACTGCTCATATTACAGATGTCACCCCTTATAATCTCTTTGTTTTACAGAGGAGTAAATCGAGATGGAGAACTCAAAGGTGTCTTAGGCACTGTCTCTGAGGCTAGTGTCTTCATGGCATTTCTTTTAAGAGGTCAGAAGATACTGGTAAACTCTAGGTGGCAATAGGATGGGGGTGGGATGGAAGCAGAGACTGCTGAAGAGGAGGAGAAGTTCTCGATGGGAAAAGATACAGGCGATACAGTGACCCACTCTAAAACTCATGTGCCACAGCAGTCGGAGGCACAGGCTTTAGCTGCACGGTGGTGATCAAGGGAGGAAGGCCCTCAAGTGCCAGGAAAACTCTCAAGCCAGAGTAGGGCCTGTATGGAAACGCTGTGTTCCTCTCCCCAGGGGCAAGGGGTGGAGGCCTGGGTTTAAGGGACAAGGAAAATATGTCAAGTTCCCCTTCCCTAACCGGCATCCCTTCCAGGGCTAAGATGCGTCTCAGAGTTCTTTGTCAGCTTCCCGGAGGAAAGGGGAAAACCCCGTGGGAGTCCAGCGCGGTATTGCCCCTTGCCAGGTAGAGGGAGGAGACCGCCACCGGTGGTGAGCCGAGACCCTCCCAGCCGCGTGCCTCCGGGCTGGGGGAAGGGAGGGAGGGCGGGAGGGAGAGAGAGAGG